AGATCTTCTGCCGCAGCTCCAACCCCCATAGGATGTACTCTGTACTGCTGAGCCCACTGGAAACAGGTGAGAGTCCCTCCCCTCTAGGGGCGCCGGCTCTGACCCGGCCCAAGGGCAGGGACTGGCTGGCTCAGGGGGTGGGGAATAGGGCATGGGGCCTTTCCCCTCTAGGGGGCGCAGCTCCAACACGACAGGGGCTGGCTGGCTCGGGGCAGGGGTTGCAGGGATCTATCCCAGGTTCTCAGCGTGTTCCTGCTCCCACAGGCGTGAGTGGCCTCACTCGGGCATTTATCGAAATCAGCTGCAAACTCGTCTTCATGGCGACTGGATTCGTCCTGGCCTATTACCTCACCCTGCTCTATTACAGATGGTAACTCAGCTACCAACTCAGCTACCGACCTACCCACCTACCAACCCGCTTAGCTGCCTACTTAACATCCTACTCACCCATCCACCTACCTATGTACCTCCCTACCAACCTGCCTAGCTACCTACCTACCAACCTACTCCTCCACCCGCCTACATACCCACCAGCCTATCTACCTATTTGGCTCCTTTTCTACTTACCGACCGATCTATTTAACAAACTACCTACCTACCTACCTGTCTAGCCAACTGGCCAGACTTTCATCCATGCACATTCTCTCTCTCTCTCTCTCTCTTTCTCTCTCCTCATATACCCCCCTCCCCCACCCTTTCTCTCTCTCAGACTACCCAGCTGCTGTTGTGGAAGCAGAAGCAAGGGCAGACCTGGTGCCAGGAAATCCGTAGTTACTGACTCAGGCGTGTAGATGGGGCCGTTCCTCTGCTACCGGAAAAGCCGAGCTAAAAATGGAATCTCACTGGAAAGGGGAAATGAGAAACGAGACTTCATCTGGGGGACGGCCGCCCTGCCTCAGACCCATCTAGCCCAGTATCCAGCCCCCTCCCTGCTGCCCCAGATCTGTCCATGAACCTGGAAGCACATGGAAGCTGCCTGTAATATTTTTATGACTATTATATATTGTCTGGACGTACCCCTTGTTTGGAAAAGGCTGCTGCTTCCTGTCCCCGAGTCCACGCCCTGGTGTTGGCTCCCCGAGGGAAAGCAGGTGGGTCCTGAAGCCTGTCAGACCTGGCTGAGCAATCACGGCTGGGGTCCACAGGCTGCAGGCTGGCACTTGCTCTGAGAGGGGGTGTAAGCAGAGTCCGGATGAGCTCTACCCTGACATCTGGTGGTGAATTATGGCGAGTGTGGGAAAGAACTCCAGGGGCTGATCTTGTTTGCATAGGCACACCCACTCGCCTGGCATGAAACAACAGCAACTCAAAGTGGTTACTTTGGCTGGTGTGGGATCTCCAGTTTTCTCTGTTATTGGGGCAGGAAGAATAAAGTTTTGTTACCCTGATTCTGTGAATCAAGGCCAGTGGAACTGTTGTATGACAGAAGGACTGAGTGAGTCCTTCACCATTACCTAAGTAGCACTTGCTTGACAAGGGGCCTGGGTTACAAAACCCAGTGAATTGAGAGAGAGGTATAGATATATAAGTAGTATTTGTACCTGATAGGCTATGGCCCCCTCTGAGGGTTTGAAACACCAATTGCACTACCTTCTCTCTCTACTGTTAAGTATCAGGGGGTAGCCGTTTAGTCTGCATCTCCAAAAACAACAACAATGAGTCTGGTGGCACCTTAAAGACTAACCGATTTATTTTTGTGAGTAGAAACCTCACTACTTTGGATGCATCTGGAGAAGTGAGGTTTTTACTCATGAAAGCTTATGCCCAAGCTTGTGGTGAAGGCTGTGGCAGAACCTCACGGAGAGATGGCCAGCTGGCCTTGGATCACGTAAAGTGCCCCTTAATACCCTGCGTGTCCCCCCTTTTACTCTGGGGCTGCACTGACCAGGGACAGAGACTTTGGGGTCTGTTGGACTTTTGGGACTTTGGGTGGTTGCTGGACCCAAGAGACTTTGGGGGTGTTGGACTTTGGGGACTCTGGGTGATTTTGGGGTTGCTGGATTCAAGAACCAAAGGGAAAGGACACAGCCCAATTTGCTGGGGTGGGCTTTTTGCTCATGGTTTGTGTTACGAATCCTGTTTGTGGTGTTTTTCCAATTTAATGCTGATGTCGTTTACCTCATGTTATTAAACATTTTCTGTTACACTCAGACTCCGTGCTTGCGAGAGAGGAAGTATTGCCTCTTAGAGGCACCCAGGGGGTGGTATGTAATTGTCCCAGGTCACTGGGTGGGGGCTCGAGTTGGTTTTGCATTGCGTTATTGAAACGGAACCCCTAGATACAGAACCAGGCCCTTGTTGCTGCCAACTTAGATGGGCAGAAGGGTTACAGGGGGAATGGGGCGATTCCAGCCCCAGCAGGTGCAGGCTGGCGAATTAAAGCCTGGAAGAGAGCACTTGGATAGAGCTGCTGAAGGAGGCAGGGGTGCAGCCAGCCCTGGGTTGTGACAGGGCCCATCTAGCCTGGTATCCCGCCCCCTAACTGCTGCCCAAGAGCAGCCCCTTGGGACAATCAAGCCCGGTACCCCACCCTGAGCTCTGGGGTGGGGCCGGCACTGAGGGGTTTGGGATGCAGGAGGGGCTAGGGATGTAAATATTGGTTAAAAAAGTGAACCGGTTAAACTGTTAAAATTATATCAGTTAACCGTTACCCAAGGTCCGTCAGGCGGGTTGGCGTGGGGCAGCAGGGGCTGGTGTCCTGATGTCCTGGCGTGGCTGGAGCTGGGCCGCTCCAGCCTGCCTGGCCCACTCCAGCCTGCCCGAGTGGCCGGGCCTGCTCCAGCCCACCCGCCAGGGCTGGGGTCCCGCCGGCCCGGCCATGGATGAGGTCCCTCTGGCCCACCAGCTGGCTGCCAGGGTAAATGGTTAAGGTCTGGTTAATGGTAAGCCCAATGCTTAAAGGAGGGATTTAGGGTGCAGGAGCGGCTTCTGACCTGGGGCAGGGGGTTCGGGGTGCGGGTGGGAAGTGTGGGGTCTAGGAGGGAGTTAGGGTGCGGGAGGGGTTTCTGACCTGGGGCGGGGGTTCGGGGTGCAGGTGGGAAGCATGTGGGGTCTGGGAGGGAGTTAGGGTGGGGGAGGGGGTTCTGACCTGGAGCAGAGGGTTGGGGTGCAGGTGGGGGAGGTGTGGGGTCTAGGAGGGAGTTAGGGTGCGGGAGGGGTTTCTGACCTGGGGCAGGGGTTCGGGGTGCAGGTGGGGGAAGTGTGGGGTCTGGGAGGGAGTTAGGGAGGGGAGGGGGTTCTGACCTGGGGCAGGGGGTTCGGGGTGCGGGTGGGGGAGGTGTGGGGTCTAGGAGGGAGT